GGCCCCCCCCCCCCCCCATCCCTTGTCATGACACAAGTTAAAGGAAAGCCATAAAATTACCTTCTCATCGATGTCTCCCTAGTCCCAACATTTCATTTCCTCCCTCCTATCTACATTTTCGCCCCGCGTTCTCCCTCCTTCCCATTATGTACTTCCCCCCTCCATTTTGCTGTCTAGGTGCTTCGTTTCTTGGGGAAGGCAGGGCGGCTGATGGTTCCTCTGTAAAATAGGACATGCAATGACTTACTACTCGACAAGGAAATGCAAATAGCACAGTCAAAGCATCCAGAAATGCTTTGCGAAAACGCCTGTATAAAGCGATGTAAAAGAGAGGATTTATTGCACTATTTGCGTGCGACAGCCAAAAATTGAAATTCCAAACCGCGATAGGAATTTTTTTCCAAACAGCTGGCTGAAAATACATGAAGTAGTGATTTATGTATGTAGGTAGCCAGCATAAGGCGAATCCGACCACGATGATAGCTAACATTCTGATGGCTTTTCGCCTCGCGGCTGTCGAGGCTCTGTTACTGGAAGCATTTCCTGAAGACTTGTGAAACCAGACTTTACGAGCAAGGAGGCAGTTTAACACAGCTGTTATTAACAGTGGAAGTGCATAAAAGGCAATAAAGGCAAAAATGTGAAAAGCTCTCATGACGAGATATGTTTCCTTGCAATCCTTGGACCATGGCCATAAGGGGAGGCAAACATAATAGCCACCAGATTTCTTAACTTGGAACAACAATAAGTATGGCGTAACAGCTAGTAATGAGACGAACCATATAACTATTGTGATGGTTTTATGTTTATGGAACAAAGTTAGCTTTGAAGGGAAAAAGATAGCAAAGAAGCGATCGATGGAGATAATAGTCAATGTTATCACAGAAGCGGCGATGGAGACAGGGATGACATAGGAAAACAGTTTACACGTGATAGTTCCCATTGTTCCACCGAACCAGCGGATATGATCGAAATACATGAACCAAACAGAGCTAGGCATCACTGTCAGGGTTAGAATTAAGTCAGCAACTGCCAAGTTCTTGATCAGCAGATAAGTGATTCGTTTCGAAGGTGTTTTGGCACTCACCACAACCTTCAGTCCCACAGAATTGCTGAATAGAGATATTACAAAGATCGTTATGTACGCAAAGGTGAATCCAACTTTGGTTTCCGTTGAGTGAAAAGGGGCTAATATGACGTTATTCTTATGGGTGCTTGTTTGATTGCTGAAATTCATTCTGCAGAAAAAGTAAGATGACAGAAAACGTTATTATTAGTACAATGTAATTTAAGCTAAAGAAATAACGTATTAGCACCTATAAATTTAAAAACCCTGTGTATATATACTCAAGCCTTGGCCGAAACCAAAATTATTCGCCATGGATACATTATGATCGCTATCCCAATTTCCGCCTCACCACGAGGGTTATTTAAGACTGCTCGCGATCGGCATACTTGTCAGGCA